AGCTCAGCCAAATTTTAGTTTGTATTCCTAATTTAAAAGCATCACTAATTCATCTCCGTCAACCCCAAATGCAATCTCAGGTATTATTTTTTGCTGCCTAATATGCTAAAGTTTTAGAATATAATATGCTAAAGTTCTGTAGTTAATACTACTTTTACTAGTTTGTTATTTGAAATGGAATTTGCAAAATTCTAAACAATAATAGAAATTTCAATGCATGTTAAGAAATAAAAATTTTATTATATTTTTTACAAAAAAAATGAAAAAAGGTTTCATTTTGATGAATTGTTTAATCGATTATATTCCACCTTATCTTTGAAATTGTTATAAATATTATTAATCCATTTTTTGAATGAAAATGCTGAAATTTTAATTTTATATAAATTTTGCCTTTTTTTTGTGCAAAAAACTATACAAAAAAGTAGTTTTATATAATTGCTTTATATAATAACCATAAGATTTAAATATTTAAAATTTTAATATTTTTCAAAACTTTAGGAATACTTCCAAAAGATCTGCATGTGATTCTAAGCAGACTTGCATCAATAGAGACAAAGCAGGTCATGCATTCACAAATTTTGAATTCAATCCTTAATGCTGTAACTCAGCATAAAAGTTATGATACTTTGCCTGAAGGCATAAATCTTCCTCTTGATTGTATACAAGAATTAAAAGATTTTGATGAGAAACTAAAAGAAAATAGCACTTTCAAGTTATTAGTATGTTATTTCCATAATTTTGATGTTGGTTTTTTTGAATGTATATATGTTCTACTATATTTTATACATATTTATATATTTTATCAGCCCTTAGAATAAAAAAAAATGAACTCGCCAATAAACTGCCGACCTTAAACTGTTAGAGGTCAGCATCAGGTCGGCAAAAAATTTTTGACACAAAGGTCAAACTATAAAACATAGAAAGGAGGTCGGGGATTTTATGCCGACCTCAAACACTTTTAGTTATACCAACCTCAAACACAGTTAGGTCGGCATTGCCGAATGCCGACCCTTATTCTGAGGGCTGGTTTTACATATTTTAGGGTTCCCACTCGGTATGCAAAACATTTTTATTTGTTTTGATGTATTTTTTAATTTTTGAAGTTTTTGAAGTATTTTTTAGTTTTTTGTAATTCAAAAATCATTATCATGTTTCTATGATTAATAAAAAGTTATATATATATATATATATATATATATATATATATATATATATATATATATATATATATATATATATATATATATATATATATATATATATATATATATATATATATATATATATATATATATATATATATATATATATATATATATATATATATATATATATATATATATATATATATATATATATATATATATATATATATATATATATATATATATATATATATATATATATATATATATATATATATACATATATATATATATATACATATACAATTAACTGTTTTGTTAATAATACTGCGAACGTTTTCACACAAGTTAAAATAAATTCTATAAGCATCAGTTCTCTTATTGTTCAATAAGATGTAAAAAAATTCAATAAGCTATTATGAAATAATAACTTCATATGCCATATATTAAATTGAAAGCATACAAAAACATGCAAATTGTTATATAGGAGTATGCAAAAGCATGCAACGTTATAAAGAAATAGCATGCAAATTTAGTAAAATGTAGCATGCAACGGCATGCAATTATCTTAAATGTAGGCTAATTAACTTATTAAATGATTAGTTAATTATTATTCAGTTGACATAAGGTTAATTAGGGTTAATTATATTAAATATGTTAATCAAGGTTAATCATCTTGCTCAAATTGGTGGAAGAAATATTGGTGATACAACGCGTAGATTGTTAAGAACACTTTTCTCAAAAGGGTTATCGTTGCAATTAAACTTTGCCGGTAGAAGTGGAAAAGTTGGAATCGGCAACATGAAAATAACTTCTCTTATTGTCAGTAAGTCTATAATTGACATTTATAATTGAATTTTAAATACTTTGGTCATAAAAAATCTGTACATATGTAAACTAAAATTTTAGTTTCTACGGCTATACGTGTGGAAACTAAAATAATGAAACTTAATTTTTTAAGTTGTTATGGTGGAAGTATTATTTTTGTTAAATATAACTAATAAATTTTTTTTGCTGTCCCGATACCAACCAAAAAAATAAATTTAGAGATAAATATTTTCTTAATAGTAATTACTACCTAAGTAGTTAAATGAGGATTTAATTTTCCTTTTCTTTTTAGGTGTTGTTAAGAAGAACAAGTTATTGAGTGACGTCACTACTTCAAGTGTTGAACAACTTGTAAAGATTTGGCTTAGGCAGTCCTGCGACCGCGAAGTAGGCAGAAATGATCCAGAACGAGGGAGTAAACGATCACACCAAAAAAATTTAATTCGAGACAATCAATTGTTATAACTTATAGTAAAAATTATATAGTTTAACGGTTTATTCTGATAAAATATTTAAGCATACGTTAACTACAGACTATTTTCTCAATTTGTTTTATTTAAATCGGGGTAATCACATCACATCATTGAATACTTTATTGACTTGTTTCTCTTTATTGAATCAAGTTTTGTTTTGGCTGTAATGTAATTAAAGTAAAATAAAATCATAATTTTAGGATTGCTAAAATTACGTTTTTTGAATATTGGGTTAACATATTTTAAACATACTTAACGTATAATTATAACATTGGCTAAACGTTGTTTTTAGCATTGGCCAATGAGCATTGGTCGTACCTTGCGCCAATGATCACTCCGGTATTGGTCCAACGCATTATTCCAACATTGTGCCAATGCAAGTCAATGCATTGGGCCAACATTGGGCCAATTATTTTTTGCTGGCTGGGTTGGGGCACCTAAATCAACATTAAAAAAAAAAAACAATGAAAAAAACTTTCAATTTTTATTGAGTAGAACACTAAAGAAAAACTCACTTTGAGATTTAAATGCATTTAAAAATAAAATGTGTTAATAAATATTTAATTACAGGAATAAATTTATGTCTATATAATAAAAATATAAAATAAATATATTATTATTATATTATATTAGTATTATATTAGTATATATTAGTATTATATTATATCATAAAAAATAAAAATTAGATTTAACCATAAAAAACAGTTTTCATCATCAAAAACTTGTGTCCAAGTTTTTGATAATTACAACAAACTTTATCATAAGTTAAGAGCAATACAACTTGTCATTATGAAAAATAACTTTTGTCATATTTATTTTAGGTGAAAAATCTTTACAAAATGACTTATGTAACCTTCTCAGCTGTATAATCTTTTGATAAGAATATTCCGATTAAAAATACAAGTGTGTCGATCATAGTTAATTCACGCTGGATTTATAGTGATAAAGATCCTGTATTCAAAACTGTCCAGCAAAGGATCTCAGTTTTAAAGGAAAGAGGTAACTTTATAAAAGCATTATTTTAAATGTATTTTCCCTGCAAGCATTTTGATGTCGATTCAACGTTGAAAACATGTTGATTTAGGACGTTGATGTAAGCGTTGAATTGGAAACATAAAATCGACGTTGAAATATCAACATTGATTCAACGTCAATAAAATAACGTTGATTTACAAACGTTGATTTAAGTGTTGAATTGGAAACAGGATATCGACGTTGAAATATCAACGTTAATGTAATACCGTTGAACTGACGTTGATTTGAAAACGTTGATTAAAGCGTTGATTTGGAAACAAGAAACCGCCGTTAAAATAACAACATCGATTCAATATCAAAAAAGTTGAACTAAAGTTACGTTTTATAAAAATTTTTAAAGATAACACTTTACTAAAAATTTACTAAAATTTTTTTATTCAAAAGTTTTACAAGTTGAGGTAAGAGGGTAATTTATTTTTCATTTTCGCAACTACCTTCGTATTCCTTTAACTCAACATCACCTTCTACTTCACAGGTATAATCTTTTTGATTATCTTTATCACCTTCTTTTATTAACTTCTTCATCTTCTTTTTCGTACTTCTAAGATTTCCGTTTACTTTCATTTAAACGATGAGGTACATACTTCAAGCAGGAGGCTAATTATGTACGAGTTTCTTTGTCTGGTGCTTTTGCATAATAGCGTTTAATCGATTCTAGAAAATAAATGGAAAAATAATCAAATTTAGCCAAGCAAAAAAACTGTAGAGAAAAGAGAAAAAATATAAGTAAGTGTTAAAATATAAGTATTTATATTTCATATGAATACTTATATTTTAACATTTTCATGTTAACTGATTTGTTTTATTTTCTGATTTGTTCAAGAAAAGTTTTACAACTATTTTTTACGAATTTAACTAAATTCCTTTGTTTTAAACAATCAACCATTTAAAAGAAACAAACACTTAAAATTAAACTTTAACACTTAAAATCAAAATAATACCCTACCAACTACAGCTTTGTAAATATTTATCCTTTCAAAGGTAATTTCACTGTTATTTTTCCCTTCGAAACAACCAAATTAAACTTTTATTGAAGTCTCTTTGTCATCAGCCTTAAACATGTCAAATGACAACTTCAATATTTTTCTTTTTAAACTAAAAATCAGTTAAACTGATTTTCTTTACGAAACTAGTAAGTATTAGTGATTACAGAAATGCTTTTGAAACAACTCTTTTAACTAAAATATTTATTTGATCTCCATTTGTTTCTATTTGTACTTTCTGACTTTGTAAATAAATAAATAACTGCTTTATTAATTTTTCTCGATTCCGTAATCTGTGATGACAAAACAATCGATACTTTATTCCAATAAAAAAATATAGAGTAGAAATTCAAATTTAGGAGTACAAATTCAAATTTAGGGTTGATGCTAATGCATCAGTTTATACCAATTGGAATCTGGCATTGATACACCCCTAATATATAATAAATCAATATATTTCTGAAATAGTTGGTGGTTACATTTTAAAGTTGTTTATAAATAATAATATTACTAATATTGAGTTAACACCTGATGGAAATGATAAAAATAAAAATAGATATAATGATAAAAATAATTTTTACTAAAATAAACATTAAAGTCACAATATAAAAAAACAAAAAAACATTACTAATAATAGAGATGATAACAATAACAGTAATAAAAATAATAATGATATTACATGTTTTTATAAACACAAATACAGCTATATTATAATGAAAGACAGATACAGACAGTTAAAAAATTGACAACTAACAATGACCATTAACAATTATTTAAATAGAAAACAATAAAATAAGAAAAATAATACTAAAATTAAAATAATTCCAATATCAACAATTATAATAACAATAACAATTATAAAAAAGATTAAAAATAAGATAAAACTATTTAACATTAAAGTAATACTATTAAAAAATCGACACTGATAAAAAACATAACAAAAATGTAGTTTAAAAAAAAAAGTTTAAAAAATATAAAAAAATTTATATTGTTATGTGCATATACAAAACATTCATATACACATATACAGATGTATAGATATGCGTTCACAGTTTACACACATATTTATATTTTTGCACACAGAAATACACATACGCGCCATACAGAAATACATAACACTCACATATTGATACATATAGATATACATAGTAATGTATACATACACATATAGATATGCACTTTTAAAATATATACAACTTTATAAATATATGACCAAAATTAAATAAACTACAAGGAAAAAATATTAACAAGACAGGACAATACAAAATAAAATCATGATAATATGAACAATGCCTAAAAAACACAATACACAAAATAAAATAAAGATACACAAGAATGTCTGAAAAAATAAAACAACAACCCAAACAGCGTACAAAAATACATATAAAAACAAACAACCTAAAAATATACAGGACAATTAAAACAAAATACAAAATTACATGACAATATAAACAATGTATTAAAACAATTTAATAAAATAACTAAAAAAATTCTTTTTTGCTGTAAAGTTCCTTATAAAAATATTATTTAATATTTTTGTTAGTGGTGCTTTTTTAATTAGACTTTTTACTTTGTTTCTAATTTTTTTTTTTTACTGTTTTTTTCTCTACAATTTATTTATTTAAATTGCTTTTATTTTTTACTTTGTTTATTGCTGTTGTTTGTTTTTTTTTCTTCGTTTTAAAAATGTTTATTTTTTTGATTTTCTCTTTCATTTATTATTTTTTCTCTCTCTTTCTTTTTACTATTTATTTTTATATATGTTCTCTCTTTCTTTTCACTATATATATATATATATATATATATATATATATATATATATATATATATATATATATATATATATATATATATATATATATATATATATAAATATATATATATATAATTAAGCTAGAAACTTGAGCTCAACTTCTTTCCAACCATGAATAGCAGTGGCGTAACTAGGGTCCCAGTGGGCACAAAACGTAAAAAAACGTTCAAAAGACGTTTAAAAAACGTCCAAATTGTGTATAAGACGTTTAAAAGACGTTTTGTTACGTCCGTGTTCACTAGGGAAATTAAATTTTGTGATTTTTGAAAAATAGCTGTTAATCAGGGATTCTGTTTAACTTTTTCCTATCCAGCTGTTTTGACAAAAATGTTTTTGCGAACAAGTATATATTAATAGAAAAATAAATGAATGAACTTTTTTATTATATGAGTTTTGTGAAGCATACTTGAAAGCCGCTACCAGCGTCTTGCTGTAATAAAAGAGTTAATACAATACTTTGTTACGCAAATTGAAAATTATACTTAATTGTTTTTTTATGGAAAATATTCCCTGAAAACTATGTAACGTTCATTGGAGAAAAAAAAAAGTGCAGGTCAAAAAAGACGCTTATTAGCAAAATAAAAGTAGAAAAAATCAGAAAACCTTTTAAGACCTTTTTTCAAAAATCAAGCACAAACTTCTTTAAAATGTTCGAAAAATACTGCAAACTCCAAACAATTAAAAATTAAAAGTTCAACGGAGGAAGAATTTGACGCAACATTAAATAATGCAGAAAAGACATCAGGCGATATGTTGACAAGATATTCAGAGAATTCGAGTTATTGAAAGTCTGCTTCTTCTAAAGAATTAGGCTAACGAAGGTATTAATATAGATGAAGTTGAAGTGAATAAAAATTGGATGTCAAAAGACGCACAAAATAATAAAAATCTCGTATCTAGAGATTGAAGACCATATTATCAGTCTTCTTAAGTTAAGTAAAGAATTGAAAAAGGCAATTATAACTGACGCGTTAAGAATTGAAATAATAAAAATCGGTTTAAAGTACGTACCAAAAATATTAAGGGCCCTAAGTAGTTGTTTGATAAACAAAAACGGTTAAAAAAATTAGGAAATGGTCTTGGTGATCAAGAGATGCGTTAATGGTTAGTTTATTCAGCTTCTAAAATACCTGTCTTTTGTATTTGTTGTCTTCTTTTATCCTGGTTTGATAACCAATCTAGTTTGGAACAAGAAAGCGGATTTAAACAATTGAAAGCGCCTG